TTTATAAAAACTATTATTGCACAAAGTGTGTTTAAGAGCAGCATGAGATGAGGTAGTAGGACAAGCAGCGATTTGAGCATCCATTATCCTATCAGTTGAACAAGCCCATGGTAAGCGCATTCCTGATGGAGATCATCTAAACATTTGACAATAGTGCACTGATTAAATATTCAATGGAATAGAATGGAATAGGAAGCATTGAATATGCAATGGAATAGAAAACATTAAATATGCAAAGGAATAGAAAAAGGCATTGAGTTTTAAAGAGAAACGAAGAGATGGAGGAAAAGAGGAGGAGAAGCAAGAGAAAGAGGGAAGAAAGGAGGGACAGAGGAAAAGAAGGAAGGAGGGAGGTGGAAGGAAGGAGAAAAGGAGGGAAGGAAGGAGGGAAGGGAGGGAGGGAGAGAGAAAAATAAAACAGGAACCTTCCTCACAACAGACTTACCATGTTCTTCCAGAAATCTGAAGGCACTTAGGTAACATCACAGTGGACCTTAATGTGAAGTTTCAATGTTTCTCTGTGGATTCTCCATGAAACACATTGCTATGACATTATCCTACATCCTCCTTTCCTTCTCCCTTACAAATAGAGACTCAGTTTGGGCACACAAGATGTCTAGACAAAAAAAAGCAAGCCCAATTCTCCACACTAAGCACTCACTTTCACAGCTTCCCTGAGTCACAGGGTAACCAAATTCTGGCCTACGACTTGCAGGTGGGAGAGAATTCTGGAAGTATTTTTTTTCTTTTGTAAAAAACAAAAATAGAAATTCCCTTGTTTTTCACCAGGACTCTTTTTCTCTCTGTCTTGAGTGCAGTTTGCAGAGATATGAGTTTTGGAGAGATGACAGCCATCTTGTATCCATGCAATGATGGGTCTGTTTGGTGCCCAGAACTGGACATTATATAAGGAGATAAAAGAACTATGGTCTTTGAGCCCAGAAAGCCTGTAATACAGAGTGTCAAGGCAGGCACATGAATTAACTTGAGAACAATTACAAAGCAAACTTACACTATTACTCAGTGCCAAATAATGTAGAGCCAATGGCAGTACTCCAGAATCCACTGTGGGTAACTTGGTCTTGCCAATGCTTCTTGCCAATCTCGCTAAACTGATGAAATTTTTAGGAAAGATGTGACATTTAGAGAAGATTCTCAAATTCTTATATATTTTAAATACATTGTTGCTCCTGTTTAAGTCTCACTAACAATTTCACTGAAAAGGGAAATACAGTATCAAAAAGTCATTGGACTGGCCACTGGGTTACAGTCTGAGTAAAACCACCTACTAGCCAGGGCAGCACATTATAAAGTTCATTTAAACAGCTGGGATTTGGGTTCTTTGGTTTGTTAATTGTGAATAATGATTCATTCAACAACTACTGACTGAGCACTTAGTAAGTGTTGGAAACTGTTTTAGGCAATAGAGATACAACAGGGAACATCAGAGACAAAGTCCTTGACCTCACAGAAGGTAGACATACTATAAAAAATACGTACCACATAAAGCTGTAGTCATAAATATGACAGAAAAATACAAAGCAAAGTAAGGAGAATAGAAAGTACACAGATGAGAATGGAGAGGATCTGCTAATTTATATAGAGGGCCTGTGTGTGTGTGTGTGTGTGTGTGTGTACACACATGTACAATGGCCTGCTTGATTTGGAGGGAAATACAAGCAAAATGGCTAATAATATATAAAAAGTATGGGGCTGGCACTGTGGCATAGCGAATAAAGCCACTGCCTGCAGTGCCATTATCCCATATGGGTGCTCCACCTCCAATCCAGCTCTCTGCTATGGCCTGGGAATGCAGTAGAAGATGACGCATGTGCAAGACCTGGAGTAAGCTCTTGGCTCCTGGCTTCAGATTGGTGCAGCTCCAGTCATTGTGGCCAGTTGGGGAGTGAACCAGCAAATGGAAGATCTTTCTCTCTCTCTCTCTCTCTCTTGCTCTTGCTCTCTTGCTCTCTTGCTCTCTCTTGCACTCTCTCTCTCTCTTTCTCTGACTCTTTCTTTCAAATAAATAAATCTTTTAAAAAAAATGTAGTTGCTAGGTTACTTGGTACTATCTGAACATAAGATACTATTACCATTGTTATTATTGAGGATTAAGTCTAAACTCTTTATCTCAACATTTAAGATACACACACACAGCCTTCCAACCTACCTTTCCAGTTTTGCCTCCACTCTCTTGTATAAATCTAACTTCCAAATAAAGTTTTTCATTCATCTAATTCACTTGGCAAATAATCACACACCGTCTTATGTCCTTCCATTGTTTCTTTGGTTTAAATCCTTTATGATTTATTTTTTCATTAATTCTCTCTCCCCAGTGAACTGATAAACTTGTTTAGATGAGAGTCTTTCTAGGAATGTCCTGACCCTAAAGGTCATCAATAATATTTATTATTTGTGTTTGATATACTGGTGTAATGTTTATTATCACTCTGAAAACTGTCATTCTGTTTGGAATTTGGTGTATACTCAATGTTGCGTGAGTTTTTAATCTCCTTATTCATTATGGGACTTTCTACTGTTGAGCAGCAGAATTTTGAAAATTTCTGTATTGTAAATGATAGTCTTAAACTGTGCATGGGATTTCCCTTAAGTATCACCTCAGTGTCAATCAGACCAGCAGCCACTCCAATGGTTTAACGTGTTTTTACATCCATCACCCAGTGTGTCTTTTCATCACCTATGGGTATACCTTGCCTGTACTCATTTGTTATTATCATCTCTTGTATGACTTCATACAAATCTTTCTAGTTGGCAGACTTCCCATCATCTGAGAAATCAAACAGATCGCTTCTCTGCCTTTTGGCCAAGATCAAGTATAGAAATCAAGCAGAAGAAAAGGACAAATGAAGAATGACAGGAACTGTAGAATAAACATCAAGCATGGTTTCAATTGGCAGAATTATGGCTCTCCAATGATGAATCCCTGGGACCTATGAAAATGTTACCTTACATGGCAAACGGAACTCGGCAGATGCGATTATCTTCAGAATCCTGAGATGCGGAGGTGACTCTGGATGATGTAGGTAAGCCTAATGTAATCACAAGAGCCCTTCTAAGAAAGATGAAGGGTCAGAATCAGAGTCAGGAGACCAATGATAAGTAGAAGCAGAGACGGGGGTGATGTGTTCACAAGCCAAGGAGTGCAAGAAGCCTCCAGAAGCTGGACCAAACAAGCAAGAAGATTTTCCCCGAAGAGCTTTCAGATGGGATGCACAGCCCTGGCTTGCTCTTTTACTTCAGTCTTAAAATATCTATTTTCAGACTTCTGACTTTCACAAGTGAAAAAGAATATCTTGGGGTTCCCAGCAATTTGTTATAGCAGCCACAAGAAATTAATACAATGCTGTGGTAGCAAAACAGCCCTGAAGTAGATAACTGGCAGCATCTAGCTCCGACTCCAGGCGTAGGAATTGTATAATCTCAGGAAAACCATTCTGCTTCAGTTTCTTTCCCTGTACAGTGAAATTGTGCCTGCCTTGCAGCATTGTGATGCAGAGGGATAGAATTATTCACGTGAGCACTTTGCAAAGTGTTCCACACTAAATATGCATCAACTGTAAAATTGTGGCTTAAAGTTTTCTTTATGAGATGAAGGACTGGAATCAAAGTACTTCTCAGCACTCTGATGCTGTAAATATCACACCATAACCACACCCACAACCATAAAGATGCTCTAGAAGTTGCTTAGTGCTAGGAAGGCCACCCAGGCCCCTTGTCACAACCCTCCTGTCATCAACCAAAATGCACATGGCTAGCGGAATTTGCAGCACTTTCAGCACAAGAGCCAAGACACAGCCTTAGCATCCTTCCTAACGCAGTCATTGGAGCTGACAAACGAAGAAGAAACATTTAAAACCCCTGAGCTAGTGGCTTGGAGAGTGTGGAGTTTTGGCCAATAGCATGGGCCTCACCAGGGAACTTTTAAGAAATGCATGTACTCAGGCCCACCCCAGTCCTACAGACTCACAGTTAGCATTTGAGTTCCCCGGGAGAATCCTGTGCCCTGGCTGAGAAGACGGAGTTTGGAGGGGTTTGAATCCCAGCTATGCAGATTCCTAAAGGACTGCCTCAAGCAATGTGTCTAAATCATTTAAGCTTCCCTGTCCACTATGTCTGGATGCAACCCACACCCACCACCTCTCAGTGCAACTCCTCCATGGGCTGTTGTGACAATTAGGCTGCAAGAAAGGCATTTTGCATAGTGTCTGCCAACAAATACTGTTAATAATAGTTCTTGTTATGGTATATTTTGCACCACCCACCAGTGCTAACCTTACTACACGTCCATTCACCACTTCTCAGCAGGAACCATTTCCAAAGCCATTCACGCCCGTGGGGGTGGAGTGTGGGCTGCGAAAGGACAGGCATGCTGTCAGCAATGCCATCTCAGGGTACGCACCCCACGGGAAACATCGGCTTGTTGGGCTCCTTCTTTTCAGCTCGCCCCTGCACGTGGCTGCATTAGAAGCCACGGGCTGGAATCAGACTTGGCCTTGCAGTCTGGTGATCTGAGGGAGGGAGCAAGGGCAGGCATTCAGGCTGAGTCGCTCTGGCTCCCCAGCCCTTCCTTAAGCCCCTCCTTGACTTGGCTGCTCTCCTCGCAGCAGAACCAAGACCTGCCAGAACCCTGGCCAGTCCCACCTGGCGCACTTTCCTCCCGGGACCGGGAAGGCGGGGGAGGGGGCTCCGTAGGGGCGGGGCTCGGCGTCCCCTAGCGGCTACCGCCGGGGCCGCCGCCTGCCCAGCCCAAGCCCCCTGTACCAGGGCTCTGCCTGGGCAGCGCTGGACAAATGGGCGCCGCCCGGGCCTGACGGATGAGCCGCTGGACACGTGAACTCCCACCTCCAATTTGGCCCAGCGCCCGGCGGCGGCGGCTGCAGCGGCGCGCAAGGGGCAGCCGCGTCCCCGCCCCGCTGGCGCGCGCCGCCTCCGCTCTTTGCATAGTAATTTCAGTTGCTGATCTCCCAGAGCTTGCTCGCCTGAGCAGGACCGCAGGTCGCGGCCCTACGGAGCCCGCGGTGCGGCGCCCAGAGAGCTGGCGCCAGGGAGATGCGACGGGAAGCCCCCGCCACAGCGCAGGCGGTGGCCCCGCGGCGCCGGCGAGAGGCGGGCGGGAGCAGGTAGGCGACCTGAGGCCGCGCGAGGAGACGCCCCCCGCGCCACCTCCGCCCCGCGGCCGGCCCCGGGGACTCGAGCGTGGCTGGGTGCGCCGAGCCAATGGGGAGGGATTTGGTCCCACGGTTTTGCCAGGGGATCCTTTGCCTGTTGCTCGCGTCCCCATCCCATCCTGCGCTCCAGGAGGGTTGGACTTGCTCGCAGGTGATGGATTTCTCTGCAAGGTCATTGCTCCCTGACGCTCCGGCTGTAAAGGTAAAAGGGGAAGAAGCCCGCTGCTCTTTGGCGAAGGGATTTATAATCAGTCGGGTCCACAAACTGGGAGAATAGACGAATGGAGGGGTGTGTGTGTGTGTGTGTGTGTGTGAGATTTTTCTCATTTCCCCATGCTTATTCCCTGTAAGGTCAAAACCCTGTGGACGATATAATAGATATGCATTTATATGCGTGCGTGTTTATGGACACACATAGACACAGTTCCATGTACAGTTCTTCCCGAGGTAGCCAGGGGAAGGGCGGGCAGAGGTTGCTACAGGGAAATCATTGCAGAGACCTGTTTGGTGTCTAGAGGTGAACTTTGGAGCGACATTAAATCGGCATAGAGCCCGGGGTCGAGGAGTGGTTCTGTGGAGATGCGTTTTAGAAAGGTAAGAAGTGGATCTTCACACCACCCTGGCAGATGGCAAAGATGTAGGCAAAATTTCAGACGCAACAATGGACATTGGGAGAGGGGGTAAAAGGAGGACTCCTTGACCCACACTGGGAAGTGCATTTGAGGTGGTGGGGAGGCAGGGAATCCAGATCAGGCTTCAGGGGCCTCCTGGAGGGGCCTGGGTTGGGGGAATCACTGCTTCGGGTGTAAGCAGTTCAAGGTGAAGGTGATGTGACTGTCCAGAAGGCAACTGAGGAGGGAGGAGAGGAGGGAGGGCTTGATGGGGGAGGGGAGAGACACGGCTCTGAGTGGTCACCCAAGCAGCAGCCAGCTTTTATTAAGGCATCTTCCTTCTCTCTCCTGTTCAAGCAGAACTTGGATCTGCTCCACTTAAATATTTTTTACAATACATCTGCTAAAGATTCGCTGGTCCATGTTTTTATTTTATTTTTGCAAGGAATCTGGGTCATGGTGGGACTAGAAGAAGCTGAAGTGTTTACAACACAGCAAGATTCAGAGAGGGAGTTGATGAAGGCTTAGCTTCATGAAATATTTACACATCTCTTGCGTGGGTTTTTGTTTGCTCTTGTTGGTGCTGATGCATATTTTACTTTGATAATGCTTTGAGTGTACTTCTCCCGAATGTGCTTATTTCCCAGTTAGAAACTAGTCTTTCTTTTCCATTGTGCTCACCATTGGCTGCCCTGAGAAACAATTGTGGGACTAAAGATACATGAGTCATAGCACAAAGAAGAAAATCTTCTCTGTTGCTATCCCCAAATAGCAGGAGTTTGCATTAGAGACTGTTCTTTTGAAATAGAGCCACAAAGAACATTGTTTTACCTTTGTGTGTGTGTTTAGTGGGGGCACTAGGTGGTTGATTGGTAAACAGACAAACATGTAATCCTTGCTTTTGTGAGTCTAGATGCTATATGATTGGAATTTATTTTGGAAACAGAGCAGAGGAGCCCATGGAGCGCCATGTATGCTGTGTTGTGGTGTGGTGAGGCTTCATCCGATCACTAACTAGACTTCTGTGAAAATGCTTAGGGAAGAAATGACAAGAGCCTCAGCCCCAGGGGAAGTGGAGGAGAAAAGCACTGTATGAATCAGATTGGACTCAAGTGGAGGGGAGGTGGATTCCACCAGGCTCTTTTGAAACTTGAGTGTTTTAATTACTGCAAAAGACTCGCTGGATGCGCTTCAGTATTTGTTCCTGCAACATTTTCTCGATTATGCTTCTTATACTCTTAAGAGAAACGTATTTAGATTTAGCAATGCTTCCCTGTGTGACTCTCCAGTCACCAAATCTGCAGCCGCCAGGGAAACACTAAAATATTGGTCACAGAATCACAAAAGCATCAAGTACCAGCCTCAGACAGTGAGGACACAATCTCATCCCAGCTCACACGCAGGCTCTGTCAGTGGCAGCTGCTTCTCCTCTTTTATGCATTTATTCACTCATTCACTTGTTCATTCATGCATTCAACATCCAAGCGCATTTATCCTGAACCAGATGTGGTCCTGGATTGTGGAATGGAAGATTGAACAGCACAGTCTCAGCCTACATATTTTAGAAGGAGATGGATAGAAACAGCTAGCTAAATGCTGTGACAGAGTGCTGAGGAAGCCAGATTGCAGAGGTGGCAAGGACGTGGAAAGTTTCTCGGTGCCCTGATGGATAAGAGGAAGGAGAAGGAGACACGGAAAGGCATTTCAGATACCAGGACCGAAATATGCGGAGTCCCAGGAAAACAAGTAGATGGAGGTGGTTGGAGGATGGAGAGGGAGGCAAATGTGCCCACAAGCTCAAGTCCAGAGCTGCTACCTCAACTGGCCAGCAGACCCTTTGACGTGCAGAAGTGAGGTAGACACATCTATCCTGAGGTTGTGTGGGTCAGATTCCTCGAATATCCATCTTTCACATCCCTACAAACCATGGTTATCTTCATTTCCAATAGCCTGCTTAAAGAGGAGAAAAATCATAATTCTCTGTGCCTCAATGCCTTCATCTGTGAAATGTCTAACACTTATTTTGGCATATGGGAAAATAAAGAATGGCGATTTAAGTTTTCTAGAAATTCAGGAAATCTTGTTTTATGACATGGACATCAGGGAAAAGGGATGGAAAATATGTGTATTCCAAGCACTTAATTGCCCCAGATGACTCCCAAAGCAAATGTGTGAGAGTCTGAACACTTGAGTGGGCAAACAAGTAAATCAGAAACATGGGCTAACGAGAGCCTGGAGGCCACATATAATTTTTAAATTATTTTTTCCATAGGAAAAATAGTCACAAGAGATCAGGAAATAATCAATAAGTACCCTTCTAAAATGGCACTTTTCAAATCATAGGTCCCAAGCACTGCGAAGTCAGTCTAGGTGGTCTGATCAGCAGTTTTACTCATGAAAATAAAATAGATTGGGGAAACAGCCAAAAAGTATGAATTAGTATTATGCATGGAGCTCTTCAATGTTTGTTTATATGTATGTGTATACTGGACTGATATGTGGAATGTGTCTCTTACATCATGTTCCAAAAAGTCCAGAAGCTCTTGCTCGAAGTGATACAAAGAAGGGATGCTTCCAGTTTGCGAAATGCCAAAAGGCAACAAAGAGGTATGATGTACTCACCTTTGTGCAATATTGTAAGTAACAAAACGCCTTATTGAGAAAGGCAAGACTCTGGCTATAAAATCAGAGAGCAAGATCTTGGGGACTTAATTTATCTGGAAGGGATTAAGGGGGAGATGGAACTTGAGCTAGTTTATGAAAGGCAGCTGGTGCGGGAAGGGATCCCAATCCAGGAGAAAGCAATGAATGAGAGGAGGTCTCTGAAATCTGTTTAAGAATCATTTAGAAAAGATGAGCTCATCATTGTGGCATTATGGGTTGAGTCGCCACCTGCAATGCCAACATCCTGTATGGGTGCTGATTTGTGTCCTGGCTGTTCCAATTCCCATCCAGCTCCCTGCTAATGCGCCTAGGAAAGTGGCAGAAGATGCCCAAGTGCTTGGACCCCTGCACGTGCATGGGAGATCTGGAAGAAGCTCCAAGCTTCAGGCTTTGGCCTGGCCCAGCCTGGGTAGTTGCAGCCATTTGGGGAATAAACCAGCAGGTGGAAGACCTCTCGATCTCTCTCTTTCTCTTTCTCTCTCTGATTCTCTCTCTCTCTCTCCCTCCCTCCCTCTGTCTCTGTAACTTAGTCTTTCAAATAAATAAAGTAAATTTCTTTTTTTAAAAAAAATAATTTAGAAAAGAAAAAATCCGGCGTCAATTTGGAGGAAGAAAATTGCACTAGAGTTTCTATTTAGACTGCAACCTTACTCAAATTGTTAATTATTTTTCAATAAATGTTATTGTGTATATTTAAGGTGTACAACATGTTATGAGATACATATACAACAAAATCTTTACTGTGGGGAAAAGTTAATACAGCTATCATTCCTGTAGTCACCCATTCTTTCACTCTTCTCTACCTGAAAAAAACAGCCATAATCCATTCATTTAGCAAAAATCCTTAATACAGTATGCTATTATAACCTTTATAATGTGGTACATTAGATCTTTAGACTTGTTCACCCTACAGATCTGCTATTTCGTATACTTTAACCTACCCAACTCCTCCCTGTACCCATGTGTCCTCCCCCCACCACACACACTTGTGGTAACCACTGTTCTATTCATTTATTTGATTTTTTTCCTTTTGAGTTGTTACTTATTTTATATCTAGGATTTCATTTCCTACTACTGCTGCTTTCAGAAAACCTAGCCAGATTGGCCATAACATCGTAAATCTGTCATTTCCGGCCAGCTTTTTATTTCTTTTGAGACAATCTACTGGTTGGGCCTTGATTCAATTGAATGTGATGATTGAACTACTGCAATTATGGGACACACCGCATTGCTGCATGATTATTTCGTGAGCTACAGTCAGAACACAGCTACAATCATTGTCACCCAGGGGCAAGAGTGGTCAGCTGGTTGTGATACATTGAGCAAGAGCTTCCAGTCTCTTCAGTGCACCTCCTCTCACGAGCACCCTGTGTGAAGCACTGGCAGCTCTAGAAGATAAACTAAAGCAGCTGTAGCCATCCTCCCAGAAGGAAGAGCAGCATCTGCCATGTTTTCTCATTTTCCTTGCTTTGTGACACGTCCATCATCCTGGCTAAATATTTTTAAATTTTTACTCATTTATTTTATATAAAAAGCAGAGAGACAGACAAGAGATCTCCCAATGGTTAGTTTTTCAAATGCTACAACAGCCAGGGCTGGGCAAGGCAAATGTTAAGAGCCAGAGACTCAATTCAGGTCTCCCACATAGGTGGCAGCGACGTAAGTACTTGAATTATCACCTACTTCTAGTGTGTGCATTAGCAGGAAGCTGGAATTGGAAGTGGAGCTAGGACTCCAGTGCAGGCACTAGGATAAGGGATGTGGGTGTCCCAAACCATGTCTTAACAGCTAAGCCAAACTCCCCACTCAGTAAAATATTTACATATGTTCATGTGCAGTTCATTGTGTTTGGTGGTAGCCTAGTAGTTATTTCGAAGAGATCATGTTAGAGAAGAAAAATTTTACTTGTGTTTCTGAGAACTTTCTTGGTGGACTTCTTTCAGCTCTTGATACCTTTCCTGTAGAATAACACAATATTACGATATTGAGACCCTCTTGTGTACGGGGATACCTCTAACCAGAAAGCAATGCCAGCTAAATTTGACTCAGCTGCTTGAATGAGTTCATTTGGAGTACAGTCAAATATGGACATTTGCTTTTTTATCAAAGATGAGAGGCCTCCCTTCATCTTCCTTTTCCACATGGGAGTATTTAGATTTGTGATCATCTAACTTGTTTATTTTTACAAAAGAGTCAAGTTTGGAATAATATAAATGTTTAGAGGATGCATTGAAACTGAAAAGACGTTTATTAAATTTCATGGGGAAAATATATATACTCTTACAATTTAAATTACTTCCAGTCTTGAATGCCAGTGAGAACATTTTTCACACTTTTTAACTGGGCACATTGAAGTTGGCAACACAGCAATGGCTTTCTAGTTTTTTCATGTCTGTAATTAGATTGTCAGCTTTATTTTGAAGCTCATCGTCTAATTGGGAGCCCAAATTATTATCACTGGGCAGAAATAACTGACCCTTGGCTGGAAGGTTAAACACAATTACTTCTTGAATCCTAATCGGAATCCAGATCTGAAGGTGGAATTTAGCAATCATGTAGCCAGACTTGGAAACCACTGCTTAATTTACACTTTTATTTACAAGGAAATCAGATAGTTGTAGATGGATCCTAAGGAAGTTAATAATTTGCCCCAGGTCATGGTTGGAGCTGCGATGGACTCTAGCACTCCTCTTTCTACTTCCCCACTGAGTCTCCTCCCAGCGCAGGTGCAAAATTGAGAGTCAACATTTTAAAGCCTTTCCTTTTCTTTAATATTTATTTATTTGAAAGGGAGAGGTGGGAAAATAGAGAGGAGAGACAGAGAGAGAGATCTCCCATCCGTTGGTTCACTCCCCAAATGACCACAATGGCTAGGAATGGGCCAGGAGCCTGGAACTCCATCAAGGTCTTCCACATGGATGGCAGGGGACCAAGTACTTGGGCTGCTGCTTTCCTAGGTGCATCAGCAGGGAGCTGGATCAGAAGTGGAGCAGCCAGGACTCAAAAAGGCACTCATATAGCCGGCACTGTGGCTCAGTAGGCTAATCCTCCACCTGCGGCGCCAGCACCTTGGGTTCTAGTCCCGGTTGGGGCGCCAGTTCTGTCCCGGTTGCTCCTCTTCCAGTCCAGCTCTCTGCTGTGGCTCGGGAAGGCAGTGGAGGATGGCCCAAGTCCTTGTGCCCTGCACCCGCATGGGAGAAGCACCTGGTTCCTGGCTTCGGATCGGTGCAGCGCTGGCCGTGGCGGCCACTTGGGGGGTGAACCAACAGAAGGAAGACCTTTCTCCCTGTTTCTCTCTCACTGTCTAAATCTGCCTGTCAAAAAAAAAAAAAAAAAGGCACTCATATCTGATCCTGATGTAGCAGGCCACAGCTGGCAGCTTAACCCACTGCCCCACAATGCCAGCCCCTTGTAAAAGCCTTTCTAAATTGTGCTTCAAATGCAGTGACCTCCATCTCTGTCCTCAAGAATCTGATGTTGTAGATAAACTGTGGAGATTGGGTGGCTGATCTGAGACAAGACTTTTTCTTGGCCTTACACACCCACCAAATTCCATTTAAAAATTGGACCCTAAACAGAGTGGAGACCCTAGCTGCTGCTAGGGAAGATTGATTTGGTTAGGATTCACAGCCCTGTGACACATGCAGAACTGAGAAAAACCTTGGAAGCTGGCAATAAAAACCTTTAAAGTCACAGGCATCTCCCCAGGGACCTTGGTGATGCTAATTCAGTAAGGGACAGCTGGACAGAAATCTCCAAAGCCCCTAAAAAACAGTACTTGCATCAACGAATTTGCTGGGGGAAAAAAGTTGCAGAGAATCCTCTTTTAAGCATGAATTGCAAACAGTGCTAGATCTAGTTTATGGGGAAGAAGCAAATGCTATACTTGGGGGTGGGGGTGGGGGAACAGCCTTACCCGTCACATGAAATCATTTGGTCTGGGCCTGCCAAGGCAAACTCAGGAAGGACTTGAAATTCAGTAATTCTATGGCAGGTTAATTCTTAAGTTGATAATTTTGTGTGGCCCGCAAATGATTTTGTAAACATTCAAATGGCCCTTGGCAGCGGGAAAAAAACAGAATCAATTGATAGATTCTTGATAGTTTTTCAGAGATATTGATTTCTAAATAACCTAAAATTTGAACAACTATACTGTGTTTATGGGAGGTTCTTCTCTTTCTTTAAAATGCGCAATTTTGATTAAACAAAATGCTTGAGGGAATAAAGCATGTAAACTATATTTTCTGAGTAATCGGAGCTTCTCTACTTTGTTTGAATTGTCGTTGAAAATTTTCCTACAGTCCACCGCCTGTGCCTATGGGTCTGCCTTCGTAAGTACAATATGCCAGATATTATCAGGATTCAGAATTCTGCATCACCTCCAGGTTCTTATTCTGAATTATGGCTGTGTGGGACAGAAATGCTAAATATAATGTAAAGGGTTATTTCTTCTTTTTCTTCCTTTATGTTCTGTGATATGAATGTAATTTTTCATGATATGTTTTTTAAAAAAACTTTTATTTAAAATGCAAAAGATATTTTGTTCATCGCAGGCTCCACTTTGTTGTAGCTTGGTCTTTGTGCTTGCCATCACATCATTTTGAAATGCTCATTCCATCACTCTAAATGAGTTGCTCAACCCACTTAAAACATGGTTCAAAGCTCCATTAGTTCACAAAACCCTTCCTGATCCTAAAGCCCCATGTGCAAAACTCTCTTGTGCACAACATGGATTTTTTTAATTTATACTTAGTTGTATTGTTCTTTAAACATGCCTTTCTTTGAATTCACCTATAAATTATTTCTCCTTGAAACAGTGCCTGTGAAAATGCAGCAACTAGAACTTTAATGGCTACTAAGAATTTTAAGCAGAGCTAAGGTTAGTAATGAGTGTACATTTTCCCCTGCATCCTTGGGTGAGTGAAATTGCTTATGACAAATGGGCGTGGACGGTTTTTCTTGTTCTCATGTTGAACATGTTCGGAATGCAGTCAGAGAGTAACAATCCGTCAATGCCAGGGTCAGAGGCTTGACTCTGATGAAGGAAGTGAAAATGCACTTGCAATCTCCTTTCTCATGGGGGATGATTTCTTGTCTGCACATATGTATTCTCAGAGCAGAAGGCAGCTTTGTCATGAGCATCTGAGAGCCCTTGGTGCACATCAGTTACTGTGGCTGGATGGGCCTCAGGTTTGGGACCTGATCAGAATATAAAAATAGGCAGGACAATCATGTCCCACATTTATTAAGCCAATATTTAAAATTCATAAAATTCGGGCCAGAGCTATGGCACAGTAGGTTGATCCTCCGCCTATGGCACCAGCATCCCATATGGACACCGGTTCTAGTCCTGGCTGCTCCTCCTCCAATCCAGTTCTCTGCTGTGGCCTGGGATAGCAGTGGAGGATGGTCCAAGTGCTTGGGCCCTGCACCCACATGGGAGACAGGAAAGAGGCTCCTGGCTCCTAGCTTCGGATCAGCGCAGCTCCAGCCATTGCGGCCATTTGGGGAGTGAACCAGCAGACAGAAGACCTTTCTCTCCGTCTCTCTCTCTCTCTCTCTTTCACTCTCTGTAACTCTACCTCTCAAATAAATAAATAAAATCTTTTTAAAAATTCATAAAATTTGTTCTACCCTAAATGTAAAGGCAACTTACACTGTCTGGGCTGGAGCTCAGTAACAGCAAATGCCACCTCTTCACTTCACTACAGTCCCCTCTTCTCCCTGTTGTCTCTCTTACAGTGATGCTTCCTGGAGGACACTTGTACTCCACAGCTTCACTTCACTGTCTTGCCTACCTGGTACCTGTAGGTACCATGTTTGTGAAGTCTGTACGAGGTACAGAATGCCATGAAAGTGATATGTCCAAATAAAGTGGAGAAGTCATTCTATGGATATAGTTAACTCCCATAAAGCACAGTGAGAGTCTACAAAGTTTTCATATATATATTCCATGAACGTTTAATGCCTGCAAATGTAGTTGATCTTGTCTGCGAGCAAGAGAACAGTGAGGTCCTTCATTTGTCTATTTGCTTGCTTGCATTTTACTATAATAAACATGGCAAAGAAAAAATATTAACAGTTTAACAGTGATTTATGTGTTCTTAACTTTAAAGACGTGTGCCTAAGATTTTGCATTGGATTGTTTTATGTAGCTTTGTTTGTTTAGTTATTTATTTTGTGGGTTTGTTGTTGTTGTTGTCTTGTTTTCCTTTGAGAGACAGAGGTTCCATCTGCTAGTTCTCTCACCCAGTGCTTACAAAGGTCTTTGGCTAGGCAGGGCCAAAGCTACAAGCCAGTAACACAACCCAGGTCTCCCATGTGGGTGGCAGGAGCCCAATTCCTTGAGCCATTACTGCTGCCTCCCAGGGTGCACATTAGCAAGAACTTGGAGTTAGCAGCAGACCTGAGACTTAAACCCAGGCACACTGATGGGGGATGCGTGTCTTACCCAGTGACTTAACTGCCAGCCAGACAGCTGTCCTTTGTTTTACATATTTTTAAGTGCACCATACTTTTGTTCTGTGTGCAACTTTTTACATGGACACCAAACTTGCAGAGCCTGCAGCAAACTCAGAGCATATCCCAATCTTTCAAGTATTGATACATTCTATTTAGTAGCTCCAGCAGCTGAGATCAATGGTCAAGCGTCCTATTGACTCATATCCCACTTTGTGGCTGCATCTGTGCAGCTGAAATATGTTCACTGAATGACAGCACTTGGCTGTGTTTGCAATCCATCTCGAGCTGGTCAGATCACCGCACAGACTGACCACTGATCATGTGGAACTGCTTTGTTCAAGGTGGCTAACAATGAGGCGACTGCCAGAGGTTGCAAATGAAGACAAATGCCCTCGGAGAGAAGATGGAAAACCCAGGCAAATCTCCAATAGAAAACTCTCTCTGAAATCGCTCTTTCTTTCTCAACCTCTGCTGCTCTCCTTCCTCACACACATTTCACCGCGTACCACCCCCTCATCATGCCTCCTACTTTACTTCTAAAAACATCCTCTCATCTAATTATTAATCCTAAAGTGTCGGTGCCTCAGTACCTTCACTCCAAGAAGACAGGGCTGAAAATAGCATCAATTGAAGCTACCAGAGGACACAGTGCTACAGCAACTCTGCTGCTTTTGGAGAGAGTGACATTTCCTTGTGGAGTGATGACCCAGTGTTAAAGGGTTGGGCACTATGTCACCTGACATGTATTGATGATGTATCAGAAACCCTAGGTGTTAAAGATCTTTAAGGATAAAGTTACCTTTTCCTATCAGATTTTTATGTGATGCAAACCTAGTTACACTGAACCATCTATGCTCTTTGAAGAAACTCTTCTCCTCCTATTCCTCTGGTGGTTATTCTGGCATGTGAAACTGTAATGATGGATCTTTTTAAAGATCATCCCTTTGGGGTTTGTGGCTTTTGAGTGGTGAGGCTAACAGTCTCAGAGAGGAGTGGTAAAAGTTCATAACCTGAGCTGGACTGGATCAAGGGACATCAGTCCCTTTTGTTTTGCAAACTACATCAAAGCCCTCCTCCAACTGGAATTAGGAATTTCTTTGGGAGATGAGATATAGAATGTGGAATGGGATTGGCAGGATGCCCTGTTTTAAGGAAGGTAGATTCCATGGATCATTTAATAAACCTGCACTGAGCATTTAATTTTTTTAACTTATATTTAATAAATATAATTTTCCAAAGTACAACTTTTTGGATTATAGCACTTTTCCCCCTATAACCTCCCTCCCGCCCACAACCATCCCATCTCCCACTCCCTCTCCCATCCCATTCACATCAAAATTCATTTTCAATTATCTTTATATACAGAAGATCAACTTAGTATATACTAAGTAAAGATTTCAACTTAACATTTATGTTAAATCCTGTGCTATGTGCTAGGAATTCAGTGTTGAATGAAACATAGCCTGAACTCTTAAAGAACTCCCAGATCACTGAAATAGTTAAAATTATTAATAGAATGGGCTCTTCTCCTGTTCAGCATCTCAGGGAATGCCCCTCGTACCCTAACAGCCAGAGCTGCTCCTCTGTCTCAACCAAGCTCCCCCTACCTGTCTTCTCCTTCCTGTAGGCCCCCGCAAGCCAGTTTCATTTCCGTTTCTCCCCTTCAGCTTCACCACCTGCTTGCCACACCTGGTTCCTTTCTTATCAGCAAAGCCAAGTGGAAAACTAGGGGAAGTCTTCCCAGTACCACACTTGCTGCTTAATGTTGTAGAAAATCCCAACACAGACGCACGTATTTCCAACTTTGTCCTAATGAAAATGCGATGGGTCCCAGTGGGGATAGAGGGGCAGTTGTAGGGGCAAGAACTCTTGCCAGTGCCTGCTGCTGCCTGCTCCCTTACGCTCTAGGAAGTCTCTTCCTTGTGAGCACCCCAGAACCCCAATGTAACTTCAGCCCTCCTTTTTGTTCCTAGTCATGAAAACATCTACAAATACAAGTGAGATGAGTAAGAGTGACATTATTGTAGAAATAACTTTATTATCGAGATTGGTATAACTGACACTAGAGAAAATTGCTCTAAATTATTCCTTTAATAAATCACTGCTGTCACAGGAACTTTATCATTGCTTGTAAATTGTTTTCGGTACACTGGTGTGCTTTAAGACTATTTAAAGGCTCCTATTTTAAATCATTGCTTAGACTTTCAGGGGTCATGTCCACCCATGGGGGATGATCTTGAACCAGATTATTACTAGGGAATGAGCCCCTTCCTGGTTACCAGGAATACCTGGCAGTTTCCGTGGCTGCTCTGTGAAATACCCCATGCCCTGTGGCTATCTTTTGTTCCCTAAGAAAGTGCTCATCCCTCTTCATCGTTCTTCCTTTCAGAGGCAGTTCATACCTCTGGAGTGCAAGTGATTCCACCTCTGTGTACTCACCATGACGGGGGAAGGAGCCCCCATGCCTTGCGATTCACTGGGGAGCGACATTGGGAAAATGAGAGAAAGGGGAGCGGTGTGTTGTTGTGGCTCAGTAGGTTAAGTCGCTGCTTGCCTACATCCCAAGTTAGAGTGCCAGCCACTCCGCTTCTGATCTGGCTTCCTGCTGATGCATCCTGGGAGGCAGTGGATGATGTCCCAGGTGCTTGGGCCCCTGCAACCCATGTGGGAGACCCAGACAGAGTTCTGGACTCTTGGCTTTAGCCAGGCCTAGCCCTGGCTCTTGAGACCATTCAGGGAGTGAACCACAGACCGGAAGGTCTCTATCCCTCTGTTACTCATTCAAGTAGATGAAAATAAGTAAATAAATATTAAGGACAAAAAATAATTAAAGCTAAAAAGGAGAAGGAAGAAGGCACCTTGGTTGTAGAACTAATGCTGCCGAGTGGAAAAGAATGAAAGGCCAACCAAACACAAGGGGAAAGAGAGTGCAAAATCCAGGACAGGGGGAGCAAGAGGCTAAGGAGAACCCTTTGGCCTCCTCTTTGCCCTACAGCATAGGAGAACACTAATACACTGAGCTTCATCCAGCTATTTTCCAGAGTACTGGCAAGGGACAATGCATTTGCAAACTCTCAGAGCTTCCTTCTTTAGGTTTTCCTGCCTGGGCATCCTGCTCATTTAAACAAATCTATGAAATTTCCTTTTCCTCCTTCTAGAGGTGAGGAAGTGGTTTTAATGACGGCTCCACGGTCTCACACGTGCTTGACTGCGCTGTTTCTGAATTCAGGGTCATCCAACCTCCAAGGCCGGGGCCTCACCACCCTGCTATGCTGCAGTCCCCTGCCAGGTGTGGGTGATTTCAGAGAAGTTATAAACTCTGGGTCAGAAATTGAGGAATAGGCAGGATTTCACGGGCTGCTTTCTTCTGCCTTGGGTTTCATTTTGCAGTGCTAAAAAGACAAACAAAAAAATATG